GCCCTGCCACTGTCCTGCAGCCGTTCCATCTGGGAATGTCATTGCCCCTCCGCCCTCCCGTGCTGCATCCCTGCCCCTGAGCCGTGTGTGTCCTTGCAGGGACGGCGCTGGTGCTGGCCCGGCTGCCCCTGGAGAAGATCTCGGAGTGCCTGAGCGAGCTCTGCGCCGTGCAGGTGCTGGCGCTCAAGAAGGTGCGTCTGGATGGGTGGGACAGCAGCTGGGAGGGGACAGTGGGGACAGTGGCCAGGCCCCAGCCCTGCTATGGCAACTGTGTCCTCAGAGCCAGAGGTGTATCCTAGAGTAGTGGAATTGTTTGGGTTGGAGAAGCCCCTGGAGCCCCTTGAGTCCAGCTGTTCCCCAGCACTGCCAAGGCCACCACTGGCTGTGTCCCCAAGTGCCACATCCACACAGCTTCTAAATCCCTTCAGGGATGGAGACTCCACCCCTGCGCTGGGCAGCTGTGCCAGTGCCAGGGAGTTTCCCCAATATCCAACCAGACCCTCCCCTGGCACAGCTTGAAGCCATTCCCTCTCATCCTGTCACTTGTTCCGTGGTGACAAGGCCCAGCACCCACACAGGACGTGTCCAGGACTGAGCCCTTCCCTAGTCCCACCTGAGGAGGTGCACAGGTGCTGCTGGTAGGGTCAGTGTCCAGGCAGTGTCTTCCCAGGGCTACCTGTGCTCCTGAACTCCTACCCTTTTCCCTTGTTTTCCAGCTGCTCTCCCAGGAGCCAAGCAATGGCCTCTCCTCAGACCCTACAGTGCCCCTGGATCGACTCGCCGTCATCTTCAGGTGAGGAAGGAGCTGGGGCCCTGCTGCTCCCCCAGAGCCTGAGTCTGCACCGCCTCCTTCTCCCCAGCCCTTGGGGAGTGGGCTGGAAGTCTCTGCTTCCCCAGGTGCCCCCCGAGCCAGTTCCTGGTCCGCTTCCCAGAGCTCCAACCCTTTTCCTTTGCTTTAATCCCAAACCCCCCTTAACCCTTGGCTGTTCCCACAGACACACCAACCCCATTGTTGAGAACGGCCAGGTCCACCCGTGCCAAAAAGTCATTCAGGAGGTGCGTGGGAGAGGGCTGGGATTTGGGGAGAGGGTTCTGGTGGGGGTTTTGGGGTGGGGGTTTCCAGGGGTGGGGGTACCTGGGGTGTCGTACGGAGTCCCAGTCCCTGGCTGCCAGGGGATCCGTGTGTCTGCCCAGGGCTGCACGGGAGGGGAGCTGTGGGGCACCCTCCTGTCCCTCCTGGAAGCAGGGATTGGGGTGTGGAGGGGGAAATCTGAGGCTTCAGCCCTCTGGAAGGGGCCCTGGCTCTGGGAATGCCCCAGGTGTTTGATTTCCCTGCCCGTGTTCTCATTTGCTGCCCTGGAGGGAATAAATCAGCCCAGGCTCCTCCAGAAAGCTTTTCTCCCTCATGGGCCGTCCCCCCGGGATCGGGGTGGTGTGGGACCGGGAGGGAGTGGGCGGTGTCCCGGCTGGGCCGTGACCCCTCCCGCGTGTCCGCGCCCAGATCTGGCCGGTGCTGTCGGAGACCCTGAACAAGCACAGTGCCGACAACCGCATCGTGGAGCGCTGCTGCCGCTGCCTGCGCTTCGCCGTGCGCTGCGTGGGCAAGGGCTCGGCCGCGCTGCTGCAGCCCCTCGTCACCCAGGTGGGGCTCGGGGGGCCGGGGCTGCCTGGGGGGCTCGCTCGGGTCGCCGCGAGCGCCGCTGTGGGCGCTGGGAAGTGCCGCGGTGAATCCTGCCAGCCTTGGGAATCCCATCGTGGGGAGGAGAGAGGCTATGGAAGAGGTTGTGGATCCCTCGGTGTGCGTGTGTGGTTTGGGAGGAGTGTGTGAAAGCCTGCGTGGTGCGGCTCCCTGGGGAGGTAACCCAGCCTGAGGGAAGGATCCTTGAATCCCAGAGCTGGTGTTCCCTGCTCCGCTCGGCTCCTGCCGGGCTCCGTGGGGAAGCTTCCGTGGAGAAGTGCTGCTGGCCCAGGTGGCCTGAGCACAGAGCTGCTCCCAGGACCTGAGCAAGTCCGTTGGGATGTCCCTGCCCACAGGGGACAGGCTGGGCCCGGAGGGATGTGGGGTCAGGGCAGATCTGGCGATGCCTGTGCAGCGTTCCTGTCTCCCCAGATGGTGAATGTGTACCGGGAACACCAGCACTCGTGTTTCCTCTACCTGGGCAGCATCCTGGTGGATGAGTACGGCATGGAGGAGGGCTGCCGGCAGGGCCTGCTCGACATGCTGCAGGTGGGGCCCCAAACCACAGCGTCACTCAGGGTGGAAAATCCCTCAGACCACACCGAGTCCAACCGTCCCCCAGCACTGCTGAGGCCACCACTGACCCTGTCCCCAAGTGCCACATCCACACAGCTTTTCAGTCCCTCTGGGGGTGGGGGCCTCCACCCCTGTCCTGGGCAGCTGTGCCAGGGCTGGACAGCCCTTTCCAGGGGGAATTTTCCATAGTATCCAGTATATCTATATAGAATCTAAGACTGGTTTGGGTGAGAAGGGACCCCGTGGGCAGGGCCAGCTCCACTGTCCCAGGCTGTCCCCAGCCCCCACCAGCCTGTCCTTGGACGCTTCCAGGGATGGGGCAGCCCTAGCCTGGTCCACGTGGGGAAGGGCCCTTGAGGAGTGATCCCAGGTAGTTGCTGATGGATCCCTGTTCCCCCCAGGCTCTCTGCATCCCCACCTTCCAGCTCCTGGAGCAACCCAACGGCCTCCAGAACCACCCGGACACCGTGGACGACCTCTTCCGCCTGGCAGCCAGGTGCCACCTCCTTCACAGGCCACCCGGCCCCCCTCCCCTCGCGGAGGGTCCCCGTGAGCACCCACGGGGGCAGTGGAGCGGGGAGAGGCAGGTCCTGGCCTGACGTCCCTGTGTGTCCCCGGCAGGTTCATCCAGCGCAGCCCCATCACCCTGCTGCGCAGCCAGGTGATGATCCCCATCCTGCAGTGGGCCATCGCTGCCACCACCCTGGACCACCGGGACGCCAACTGCAGCGTCATGAAATTCCTGCGGGATCTGATCCACACTGGGGTGGCCAACGACGTGAGTGACCCACGGGGGCACGTTGCTCAGGAGGCTCTTCCTCCGTGGGGATGTCACCATGGATTCATGGAATGGGTTGGGTGGGAAGGGACCTCAGAGCCCCTGCAGTGCCACCCCTGCTGTGGACAGGGACACTTCCCACTGTCCCGGGCTGCTCCACTCCCCGTCAGCCTCATCATCCTCATCTGCCCTGCCCTGTTGTCCCCACAATCCACCCTGGTTTCTCCACCGCTGCTGGCCGAGAAGCTCTGGGGGTTGCCTGCAGAGCGAGGAGCTTACCCCTGTCCCCAGGCCCTGCCCACCCCCTTCTCCTTCCTCCCACAGCATGAGGAGGACTTTGAGGTGCGGAAGGAGCTCATCAACCAGGTGATGACCCAGCTGGGGCAGCAGCTCGTGAACCAGCTCCTGCAGACGTGCTGCTTCTGCCTCCCGCCCTACACCCTGCCCGACGTCGCCGAGGTGCTCTGGGAGATCATGCAGATCGACCGCCCGGTGAGGGGAGCGACCCCGGAGGGCAGGGCTGGGACCCCAGAGGGCAGGGCTGGGACCCCGGAGGGCAGGGCTGGGACCCCGAAGCTCTGCCGAGGCAGGGCCCGGGAGCCAGGCCGGGCTCCACATTCCGAGTTCCTCCCTTTCCCTGGCACAGACGTTCTGCCGCTGGCTGGAGAACTCGCTGAAGGGGTTGCCAAAGGAAACCACGGGCGGAGCCATCCAGGTGACACACAAACAGCTCACCGACTTCCACAAGCAGGTCACCAGGTGAGTGGCACCGGGGCCTCCAGCTGGCACCAGCTCCCTCCTTCAGGCTGGCCTCCAGCAGCCCCGGCCCCAGCCCTGCCTGTGCCGCTGATCCTGCTGGGATGTGCCATCTGCCTGCACGGGCACACGGAGCCCTGGGGCTGCGTGGTGCCTTTGCTGTCACCCAACGGGTTTTTCTGCCCGGCCTGATCCCTGCAGAGCTGCAGCCCTTCCTGAGCCACCTCCTCATCCCCATGAGTCACTGGTTCCAGCTGCCAGGCCCTGCCCAGGCCTGTTCCTTCCCAGGGCCACCAGCTGCTTTGGGAACGTCAGCTGTCTCTGCCTGGCTCCATCTCACCCCTGGACAAATCCCAGAGGCCGAGTGCCCAGGGGCAGCTGGTTCCTTCCACCCAGCCACTGCTGTGGTGGCACACAGGGACAGTCCTGGGGGCTGCTGACCTCATTCTGCCCTGATGATTGTCCCTTCATCTCTCCCAACACCTTGGAGCCCAGCTGTCATGCTCCCACCTCCTCCCATCCCTCAGCAGGACACCTTCCCTGGGTCCCACATCTCCCCTTGGGGTCACCCCTGATGTCACCCCTTGTCTTGCAGTGCTGAGGAATGTAAACAAGTCTGCTGGGCTCTGAGGGACTTCACCCGCCTGTTCCGATAGCTCCGGCTCCACATGGCACCTGTCTCCCAGGTAAGGGCCTGGCTCCTGTCCCTGCCCCACAGGACATCGGGGACAGAGGGCTGAAGCTCCCTTCCTCCTCCCAGGAATGTCTTTAAGGAGAAGACAGGAAACAGCAACCCAAGAATGTGTCCCACAATCAGCCGAGGGCTCTCGCCCGCTCCAGCGCGTCCCCGAGGCCGGAGCCGTGGGAGGAGGGCTCGGGGGTCCCGGCGGCCGCGCGTTCCGGGGCTCGGCCGCCGCCACGAGCAGCAGCCCCAGGGCAGCACCTCCAACCCCACTGCAACCCACCAGGCACCGGAGCCACGCGGCTCCCCCGGGTCCGCCCGGCAGCAAAAGAAGTAGAAAAACTTTCTGTGAAATGGAGACAAAAAAAGAAGGAAAAGAAACAAACAAAAAACAAACAGTACAAATTGTTTAGGAAGATGGGGGGGGTCAGTCGGGGGGTCCTGGGGCGCTGCCCCCCTGAGCCCACCGCGGCCTGCCTGGTGCCGACTCCCAGAGACGACGCAGGCGGGACGGACTCTGCAAATAGAGATTTATATTTTATTTTGTTCTGCTTTTTTTCGTTTGTTTTCTTGTTTGGTTTTTTTCTGTTTTTTTTTTTTTTCCCTTTTTCGGGGTTTTCTTTGGTTTGATTTTGGGGTAGGAGGCGGTGGCTCGAGTGCGGGCAGGGCGGGCGGGCGCATGCGGTTCCCTCCGGGGGTGTGTAGCCATCTCGAGAACAATAAAAAACAACAAAAAACTGAAAAAATAAATTAAAACCTCCCAAGGTCCCTCTGGTTCTCCTCCCAGGGCTGGGGCTGCTTTGTGCCCCCCCGCAGTGCTGAGTACCCCCATCCCTGGCGGCTTCAGGTCCAAGGTGGCCCCAGCCCGTTTTCTTGCTGTTTCCCCCGAAAGTCCCAGGGGGATTATCCTTGCAATGCAGGGAGGGTGGGGGGTCACAGTGCCCTTCCCCTGCAGAGCGCCCTGGTGCTGGTCACTGGCAGCTCTGGGGGGACAGGGACGGGGATGAGGACGGTGCTGCGTGGACCGGCCCACCAGCCGAGATGGGCACGGCGTGACTCACCGCGGCTGGCAGTGCCACGGCTGTCCCCGCTCCCTGTCAGGGGGGCAGGGGCCCGGGCAGCGCCCAGGGCCCCGCGGAGGGGCCGGGCGGGGGCTGCGCCGGCGGCAGCCGCTGGTGGCTCTGCCAGAGCTGGTGCAGCTCCTTGAACTGCTGCACCATCCTGTCCTTGAGGTCGGGGTGCGAGATCTGCAGCGGGATGCTGTCGGCCGACCAGGAGAGCTCCCCGGAGAACATCTCCAGCAGCAGCCGCGCCGCCACCGGCACCACCTGCGGGAGCGCGGGGCGTCACGGCGGCAGGGACCCCGCCCGAGCCCCCGTCACGGCCCCTCACCTGCACCGTGATCAGCTTCTTCTCCTTGGGCTTCTGGTCCGGCCACTCCTCGCCGAAGCACAGGAAGATCTCAAAGGGGGGCGGGGTGGGGGTCTGCCCCTTCTGGAACTGGATGAGGCCTGCGGGGCCCCACACCGCGGTGAGGGGCAGGACGGGGCCTCGCGCCTGCCTGGGCCACCAGCACCCCGCTGAGGGCCACCCCGAGAGCCAGCCGGTGACCCCCACCCCAGCTCTGTCCCCCCATTCCACCATTCCAGCTGGTGTCCCCATTGCACACTTGTCCCCCTGATGCCACCACGTGCCTGGTGCGCCCCCACCCCAGCTGGCCTCTCCATCCCAATCCATTGCCCTCGAGGGTCACAGGGCCACCTCCCCTTCCCCTCTGACCGTTGAGGAAGCCCTCGAGGCTGAAGAGCTTGGTCCTTCTCTCCCTCTGGATGGGGTTGGGGCCGGGCTGGGGAGCGGCGCAGGGCCCTGTCCAGAAGACCTTGCACTGGCAGAGCCGGAGGGCGAAGAGGTCCTGGCCCTGGAGCTCCAGGATGAGCCCTCGGTCCAGCACGTCCAGCAGCTGGTGGGTGTAGAAGCGCTGCTTCTCGTTGGGAATGGCGTCGGGAGCAGGGAAGGGCACCTGCTCCAGCGTCAGGGGCCCGAAGAGCTCCTCCTGCTCCCGCGTGGGCTCCAGGCTGCTGTGGAACAGCCGGCAGCCGTGCGGGTTGCTGACGGTCAGGGCGCACACCTGGCGGCCCCGGTACTGGAACTTCAGCTCCAGGTCAGTCACTCCCTCACCCAGCGGCCCTGTGCCCCACCCCCTCCCCCCCACGGCCACCCCACAGCCACGGCCACCCCTGTCCCACCACCCCACGGCCACGGCCACCCCACAGCCACGGCCACCCCACGGCCACGGCCACCCCTGTCCCACCACCCCACGGCCACGGCCACCCCTGTCCCACCACCCCACAGCCACCCCAACCCTTCCATGGCCTCGCCACAGCCATGGCCACCCCAGCCAGCGCCCCCAGGCCCCCCAGCCCTGCTCACGTGGCAGCATGTGGGGGCTGACGAGCAGGTCGGGGATCAGGTGCTCCGTCGGTGCCACCGGGCAGGTGGACGAGGGCCCCGGGGGGCCCAGGGGGGGCCCCATCTCAGCGAGGGCGCCAGGGAGCAGCTCAGGGCCCCCGTGGGTGCCCCCCGCCTCCCCCTGGAGCAGGGCCGGGGGGGGAGGCCCAAAGGGCCCCCCCGGGGGGCAGTGGCCAGCAAAGGGGGGGGCCTCCTCCTTGGCCCAGGGGTAGGGGGGCAGCAGGTCCCCCCCGTGCTGCGTGTCTGGAGCAGAGAGGGGGGTCAGAGGGGGCACCCCAGCCCCCCCGACACCCGACCCACCCTGAGCCCCCCACTCACCATCGATGCTCAGGGATGTCATCTTGTGGAGCTGCAGGGCAGAGTGGGCGTTACAGGGACCCCGCTGGGGCATCCCCGGTTTGGGGATCCCCCCACCCTGAGCCCCCCCCCAGATACCTGGCTGACGTCTTCCTCCCCGCTGCAGCCATAGTCATCCTCGTCTCCCCCGTCTGCAAGGGAGAGAGGGGCTGGGAAAACAGAGGGAACTGGGGGGATATTGCTGGGTTCTGGGGACTCATGGGGGGGGGATATTGAGGGGTTCTGGGGACTCAGGGGGCACTGAGGCTTCACAGGGGGGTGGGTCCCTTGGGGGGGCAGGTCTCTGGGGCACTGGGTCCTTGTGGGGTGTGGGGGCTGCTGGGGGCTGGGACCTCACGGGGTGCTGGGCTTTGTGGGTGTGGGGGACTGGGGGGACGTCAGGTCTTTGTGGGGTGCTGGGACTTCGGGGGCCGCCCAAAGGCCTCCCCCGAGCCCCCCGTACCTGCGCCCCCGGGGGGCTCCTCGCAGAGCTCGTAGACGCGGAAGGGCTGGGCCGGGGAGCCGCGGGGCCCGTCCACCAGCAGCCGGAACTCGCGGCTCTTGTTGAGCGCGCAGCGCAGCGTGGCCTTCCAGCGCGGGGGGTCCGGCGGGTCCCCGGCCCGGAACCGGCCCGTCTCCTGCGCCCACGCCTGCCGGGGGGTCAGCCCCGCCACCCCCAGCCTGCCTGTCCCCGCGCGCCGGTCCCCCTTGCCACCCCCATCCCACGTGTCCCCATGGTCCTTGTCACCCCATCACCCTGTCACTCCTGTGCCTGGTCCCCCAGATCCCCACTGCACCCATCCCATGTCCCCCTTGTCACCCCATCACCCTGTCACTCCTGTGCCTGGTCCCCCAGATCCCCACTGCACCCATCCCTTGTCACCCCATCACCCTGTCACCCCTGTTCTGTTTCTCCTATACCCCTACTGTCCCCATGCCGCGTCCCCCTTGTCACCCCGTCCCACATCGCCCCCGTCCCCCAGGCCCGCCCGGTCCCCATCCCAGTGCCCGTTGTCCCTCCCGCCCCGTGTCACCGGTGTCACCTTGAAGATGGTGTCGTGGTCCTGGGGCCCCGGGGGGTTCCTGGTGGCGTGTCCCCAGGGGATGACGAAGCGGCGGTGCTCGGGGTCGAGCCAGCGCAGCCCCGGGAAGCGCCGGCTGCTCACCTGGGCCACCAGCCAGGGCTTGAGGCGCACCCGCCGCGGGGGCTCCATGCCTGGGGACCCCAGCGGGCACCGCGTCACCCCGCGGCCGCCCTCGCTCCGAAAGGGGAACCGGGCCCGCGCGGCCCCGGGGGGCCCCGGTTCCGCTTTCAGGGCGGGAGGGGGCGAGGCCCCCCCGAGCTCTCGCACCCCGAAAGCAGAAGCTGCGGTGGCTTCGGGGAAAGAAAAGAGGAGCTGAGAAGGGGAGGGGACAGGAGGGACAGGAGGGACGGGAGACACACAGAGTGGGGAGAGGGACGCGGGACAGTGGGATGTGGGGGGATGGAGGGGACACAGGACAGGGGACACGAGGGACAAGGGGAGGACACGGGATGGGAAACACGGGGACGCGGCGTGGACAAGGAGAGTGCACAGGGGACACACGGGGGATGGGGGACACAGGGGACGACACTGAGGACGTGGAGGGACACGGGAAACACGGCAGACAGGGGACACGGAGAAGGGAGGAGGGGCACGGGTGACATGAGGAGAGAGGGGACACGGGATGGAGAGGACACGGTCCATAGGACGAGGGGGGCAGGGGGTGGCACAGGAGGGATGGTGGGACACGGAGAGCACGTGCGGGACACGGGGACACGGGAGGTCCCCACCGCGGTCCGTGTGCGGTCACAGAAGCCCCGCGAGCGGAGCCCCCCGCTCCCCTCGAGCCGCGGGTCCCCGCCGGTCCCCACGCGTGTCGCACGGACGGCACGGCGTGTCCGGGCTGCCGCCCCCCCCGCGGCCGGGGCACTGTCCCCGCGTGTCCCCGCGGCTCTTCCCGGCCATCTCGGCACCGCCCCGCCACGGCGCCCACCGCCGCGGCCGCTCCCCACGGGCCCCCTCCCCACGGGCCCCATCCCCACGGGGTCCCACCCCACGGGAATCCCCCGCGGACCCCCCGCGCCCGTCGGGAGCGGCCCCGGCTCTCACCTGCGCTCGGGCTGCTCCCGGGGCCGCCGCCCGGCGCTTCCGCACGGGCACCGGGCGTGGGCGTGGGGCGAGACCGGCCGGGACCGCCCCGGGACACGGGGCGTGCACCGGGGCTCCCCGTGTCCCCACAGGACCCCCGGCGTGTCACCCCCCTCGTGTCCCTCCGAGCCCCCACGGCTTCACCCCAGGTGCCCCTCCTCGGTCCCCCGTGTACCCCCCGTGTCCCCACCGTCGTGTCCCCCTCCCGGGTCCCGCCCCGTCTCCCCGGCTGTCAGCCCGCACTGCTCGCAGCCCCCTCGTTAACATACTATTTGCATATATTTGCATACACAGCATCCAGTTCCCTCTCCACGTGACGCGCGGGGATCTCCGCGGTGGGCGGGGACACCGGGGAGCCTTTGCGGACTTTGATTGGCCGCGCCCTCTGTCATTCATCTGCGGGCGCACCCGCGCTCCCGCCTCCGAGCCCCGCCCCGAGGCAGCTGTCTGTCAATGAGGGGGGCGTGGTTTAGATGGGCGTGACCAAGGGCTGCAACAACGTAGCGGGAATGGGCGGGTCCTGCCCCGGGGTGGGGCTGCTCACAAGACACGGGGCGGGGGCGGGGCCTGCCAGGCCCGCGAGGAAGAACCGAAGGAGGTACCGGGACCCGAATGGCTGCCGCGCGGGGCGGGGGTGCGGATGGTCCCCGGCGCTGCCGGTGTCGGGATGGCCCGGGGGGACGGAGGGGACTCGGGGTTTGATGTTATTTTTCGCCCCCATCCCGGTGCGACCGGGATCTTCTCGAGGGGAGCGCAGGTCCCGGGGCAGTGTTCGGAGAAGGGAGCGGATCCCGCTGGATTCGGGGTGCTGGGGGGGGAGTAGAGCCCCGTGGGTTCCCGGGAGAAGATCAGACGCCGGTGGATTCCCAGGATTCCTCAGATCCCTGTGAGCAGGGGGTAGGAGCGGAGCCCGTGGGTCCCCGGGGCAGAGGAGCAGCTGGATTCCCGGCTGGATTCCCGGCTGGATTCCCGGCTGGATCTGCAGCTTATCCCACCACCGTGCCTGTTCTTGCCCTGTCCCTGCTTTTCCCGGGATCCCAGCTGATCCCAAGGGACAGCTGCAGCCTGTGAGAGCCTGGCCGCAGGCCAGGGCCTGATCCCGGATGGGAAAAGGCACCCAAGGCACCAGTTGTGGGGTGCTGAAGGGATCCCAGGGGGATCTGCTCAGGCCTCGCGGGGGTTTCCCCACAGTGGGATCCCGGGTGGCTGAGCGGCAGCATGGAGCATCGCGGCTGGGATTCCGGGAAACGGGGACGGGATGGGGGAAACCTCAGGGTTTGGGTCATCCTGCACCCCAAACCGGTGCTGCTGCCGTTGCATTCCCGAGCACGCTGGTGCTCCGCTGGGTTGGGCTTTCCTCCCAGCCCGGCACCATTCACCTCTTCACTTGGTGTTTTTCCGGCAAGAGAAAGCGGGATAAATGTCCGGATCGCCTCGTGGCGTGGCCATGAGAGGGAGCCTCAGAACTGCCCGTGCCGGAGCTGCTCCCGGTGCTGTTGGGCGGGATTCCCTGCAGCTGGGCTGCTGCTCCCGGGCCATCCCCGTGGGCTGGGTTTGGGGCTGCTTCAGGCGGCTTTGGGCCAAACAGGGAGAGCCTGTGCCAACACGGCTCCAGCGCTTTCTCCTCGCTGGGATGTGCTGCCAAGGAGCTGCTCCGGGATGGAGGTCCATCCCCTCCGGGCCGGCTCTCCGGGCTGACATTCCCTGTTCTCCACGGCAGCTCCGAGTGGACGGTGCAGCGGAGGCTGCGGGAATTGTTTTCCGTCCCGCGGTGCCTGGTCAGCGTGCTCAGCCTCTTCCTGGTGGAGCTGATCCGCTTCCTTGGCGAGGCCGTGGTGCAGGTGAGCTGCTGGGGATGTCACAGCCCTTCAGCACTGGGGGAAGGACCCTCCATTTCCCCCTGTTGCACGTTTCCTCTCCCGTAGCGGAGTTTTTGTGTCTCAGCCCATGTGTGGTGACTCCTGCTGGCAAGTATCCCTCAAACACAGCATTTCATCCCAAATCCAGGCGCTGGTGGTCGGTGTCCTGACAGCCGTCGGCGACCACGTCCTGAAGCCCCTGCTGGCGGCGGCGTTTCACAGCCTCCTGCAGCCGCTCCTGCTCTTCCTGCTGAAGGTGCTGGCGGGCGTGCGGGACCTGGCGGAGCCCGTGCTGGACGTGCTGGCCCGGCTGTGCTCGCAGCTGGCCGTGCTGCTCCGCGCCGTCCGGCTGGTGGAGATCCGCCTGCGCCCCGACCTGCGGGCCGGCCCCGGCGACGGCTGAGGGCAGGCTGTGGGTGGCCAGATGAGATAAGGAAGAAGAATTCCTGGGAATTGCGGAAGAGTGGGACCAGCTGCGGCTCCGGAGGGGCCGTTGTCTGCACTCGGGCAGGGGGCAGCACATGGCGTGCTGGGAGGTGGTTTGGATCTTCTAGTTCTGCAAATATCTCCTTAACTTAATTAAATTCCAATTTTATCCATTGGACCATTGCTCCAGTGAGGTGCTTTTCCTCTTCCTGCCTGGAAAGCTCGGCTTCTCACTGAGTAGGACTTCCCTGTGCAGTCTCTTGCCACCAGATGGGCTCCACTGCTGGGGTGGTGCCCAGGGCCTGTGCCTCAGGCACTGCCGGGAGGGGACGGCTCCTGCCAGCTTCCAGCTCTCTGGAATGGTCTCCAGAACCGGTGGTATGGGACAGACTGGGATTTGGGGGCAATTGAAAAATAGGGATCACAATATAACGGAGCAACCACCTCTGTGTTCCTAACAACTGGCTCTGGTGCACGATTTGGGTCACGTATTCCCGTCGGGATGAGGCGGCCAAGGAGCCGAACGGCGGCAGCAGAGCTCTGGGTGCGTTTTACAAACCCTTGGAGGGGACTGAGCTGTGTTTCGGGGCTCCCCCAGCCTCAGCTCCCTCTGCCCTTTTGCCGTTCCAACAACGCTGCCTCCCGGGAGCGTCTGCCCCGGCTGGCGCAATCCCCGTGTTCCCGATGATTCCATGCCCAAAGCCCTTTGCTTTTTATGGGCAGGAGCAGCATGTTTGGAGCTTCCCGGGCTGTAAGATCATCCGCGGGCCAGCGCCGGGGCCGGAGCGCTCCTGCTGGGGGCCAGGCTCGCCGGGCTATTTGGGGGGTGCTGAGTTCACGGAGCCGTGACGGGATGTTCCCAGGCGCTGCGAGGGGGAGCCAGCCCCGAGGAGTCCTCTGGGCTCGGGTGACCAAGGGCAGCACGGGAATGGGCACTGAGAGCCGCTGGGCAGCGGGAAGCAGCCGGGCTCTCCGGGACAGGCGGGGCTGCACGTGGGCACAAACAGGACCCGGGCACAGGGACCGAGTCCAGGACGTCCTGCGGCAAAGGCACCGTGCCACGACAACCACACGCGGGGGCTGGAGCTCCTCAGGACACCGGGGACGCTCGATTGTCCCTGGGTACTTCCACCCTTGCTGGGCTGCAGGCCTGGCCTGATCCCCGCTCCCGTGACCTTTCCCTGGGGAAACAAACACGAGGAGGGCAGGGCAGAACTGATGGGGGGTTTCTCATTGCTTTGATTTAGCTGGCAAATCACTTTAATATTTGAAGTGGTTTAATTAAATTCGGCTGCTCTGGAACCAGGAATTCCCCAGTACAGTTTCTCTTTTTCGGCTCAAGCTCTCCCAGTCAAAGGCCCAGTAGACGGCGAGAGCTGGGAAAATTCAAAGCTGCTGGTGTCATCTTTGACCTCCATCCGTCATCCTGCAGCGGGAGAGGAGGGCGGAGAAAGCCGCGGGGCTGGGAGCTGCCGCCTCCCCGCAGCCCCGTCCGGCCGCGGGATCCCGGCAGCCCCAGATTCCAGCGCTTGGAATTCGGGCTCCAGATCCAGCGGGAGCGTGTGGCTCAGGGAAACCCACGGGATTCTGGGGTGCAAAGCGGGGAGCGGGAGGTCTGGCCACGGCCTCACCAGGAACAAAAACCTCTTTTCTTCCTCAAAACACGCCCGAGGTGCGCGGAGCCGCCCCGCCCGCGGCCGCCGCCCGGGGCCCGGTGCCGGGGGAGCGGCGGTGTCCCGGGGCTGGCAGGACAGTGCCGGTGACCTGCGCGGGGACAGCGCCGTGCCGGGACAAGGACATTCCTGGGCTGGCACTGCCGGCAGCCGGGCTGGCAGCGCCCCCGCATTGCTGCTCCCTGAGATCACGGCTCCGAGCCCATCCCTGCTCCCAGCGCCCATCCCGGCTCCCAGCGCCCATCCCTGCTCCCAGCGCCCATCCCGGCTCCCAGCGCCCATCCCGAATCCGACCCCATCCCTGCTCCCAGCCCATCCCTGCTGCCAGCGCCCATCCCTGCTCCCAGCGCCCATCCCTGCTCCCAGCACCCATTCCGGCTCCCAGTCCATCCATGCTCCCAGCCCATCCCGGCTCCCAGCGCCCATCCCTGCTCCCAGCCCATCCATGCTCCCAGCGCCCATCCCGGCTCCCAGCCCATCCCGGCTCCCAGCCCATCCCGGGCACACGCGGCCGGCGCTCCGCCCGGCCGGGCTCGGGTGCGCTCTCCAGCCGCGGGCGGTCGGAGGAGGGGGCGAGGGCCCGGATGCAGCCGGCTGGAGCGGGAGCGCAGCCAGGGGCTGAGCGCGGCCTCCTCGGTTCTTCCCTAAATAGCCGGCGGCGGGCAGGAGGATTAGCCGGGGCATTCCTCGGCCCGTCTTCCTCCCTCAGCCGCCTCGCTCCTGAGCTCCCCCGGCCTCGGGATTCCTGCTCCTCCCTCACGCCGCCCTTCCGAACCTCCGCGGGCGCCCACAGCCACCCGAGCCCGGCTGCCTTCGTCCCGTTTGGCAGCGGCCTTTGGGCTTTCCCCGGTGCCGGCCCGGCCCCGCCGGTGGAGCCCGGGGCTGTCCAGGGCCACTCCTGTCCCGAGGGGTCACGGCGGTGCCAGCCCAGGGACTGAGCGTGGGGGCAGCGTGGGGAGAGCCCAGGGACAAGGCCTGGGGACAGAGCCTGGATAGAGGATCCAGGGACAGAGCCCAGGGACAGAGCCCAGACACAGGGCCTGGGGACAGAGCCCGGGGACAGAACCTGGGGACAGAGCCCAGGGACAGGGCCTGGGGACAGAGCCTGGGGACAGAGCCTGGATACAGGATCCAGGGACAGAGCCCAGGGACAGAGCCCAGACACAGGGCCTGGGGACAGAGCCCAGGGACA